CCTCCCATCCATTTCATGGACAGACACCGCCCACTAGACATCACAGACCGTTATTCAAGAACGTTTTCTACAGCGCGTGATGCCTCTCCCTAGATGACGAGAGTTAGTTATTGTATACGAACGAGCTAGATTTCTCGAGATTCTCTTCTGTAAATCATGGCTCACTCAAAAATATACCTTCTATAAAAATAAAAAAAAATTAAAAAAAAACCGCGACAAATTGTTATAAGAAACAAATTAATTTAGCTCTGTTCACTTTTATTGAGAGAACAGCAAAGTTAGTGAGTGAACAGTGCCCATTTTATTACATCCAATTGGCCGGTGTCAGAATTACGGGAGTTCCACTGTACTCTTACATATGCGATTTCTTTTCTTCGCAGGTCGTGTTGTAATCGTAACCACTTCTCCTTGAGTGTCCTTGGAAAACTGAGCCATGTTTGCCCCCTTTGTCCTGTTCACTTGCCTGATGTTCGTATCCGCATCCACAAGTGCCCCTAGCGCTGGCAAAATCGCGGAGTTGGGAAAAGCGATTGATCTTCGGGAAGCCAACCTCCTTGCAGATTTTCAAGAGCTCGAGAGAACCATTTTTGAGCCCTTCAAACGAGAATGCTTCATTGATGAAACCAAAAAGATTCGATCCTCACGAAAGTTCATGGAATATTATGAAAATAGCAGAGCCTTTTACTCGTCTTTGGCCACCCAATCAGAATTGGACGTGTCGTTGCAGTCCTCATATACTCTGGGTGTTTCTCTACAGGTTGCGACAAAGAGCAAAAGTTCAGAGACCAATAAAGTGAGTGGAATGTCTTTAAACGCGGTGGCAATAAACGAAAAGATCCTGGTGAGAAGAGGCTGCTTAGAAGGTGATGAAGCGAGCTTAACAGACCGATTTCTGGCAGACTTGGAAGACTTGCCGGCAAAAATTGAAGAACCCTGGGAAAAGTCTTCCTGGGAACCGTATAATAGTTTCCTGAAGACATACGGCTCCCACGTCATTACGTCCGTTACACTTGGAGCTAGTTTCAGACAAATGACATTTGCGGAGAGTTCAAAATCCTACAGTGAGAGAGATTTTGAGGTGAAAAGTTGTCTCTCTTTAGCTGGTCCCACAGCTGCTGGAGAATTGGGTTTCAAAGCTTGTGCAGACATAACTGAAAGTGAAAAATCTAAAGCAAGCCAGATCAGCACGAGTGACAAAGTGTTCGTTTTGGGTGGAAGTCTCGATACCCGTAACAAGCTTTTGGACCAAGAGACAAGGTCGGTCGAAGAAATTCAGAAACTCTTGGATGAAGCCGGCGACGAACCCTCATCCATTGAGCACACATTTGTTGCAATCTGGAACATTTTACAAAGTCGTTTCCAAACAGGATCACCCAACCACATCAGAGGTTTAAACTTGGAGTACTACTTTCTCGGCTTCTTGAACTATGGGTGCACCTACGTTGAGGGTGGAAAAGTTCAAATCCAGAAATTCGACTACTCCGCCAGTACCACTAAAACTTCCCCAGAATTTGAATGTTCCCTCGCTAAACAGGGCTGTCAAACCAACAACGATTGCCATTACAAACCCATTTGGTGCTCTTGCCATGGAAAGTCCTGTGTTCGCTACAAAACTGAGACGCACGACAATGGCTCCAAAAAGGAAACTGCCTACGCAAATTTCGATACAAATTGGGGATGGAGCGGTTGCGGTTGGAAGGCGGCAGGGTCCTATTGTGAGTGCAAAAACGCAGATCGTAATGTGCGGAAAGTTGTATGGTCCTTGCCCAGCAGAGATTGCCCAACACATAAAGCAGCTAGCCATGGCGGCTACCGTCAGACAACAAAGGATGCAGCCCAGAAGAAACCGAACTGAGTTAGAACGAAATTAATCTTCCACTTGTCCACTTGCGGTGATAAGTAATCATTTAAATGATCCCATCTGAAGTTAAAGAATAACTAGAATTAAAACATACATGTAATCTTTGTCATTATGCCAGAGTTGGACAACTTAAAAGTATGTTCATCGACGACAAGCAAATGGTTTGATTGAATTAATAAATGTTAAAAAGATGGAAGAGAAACTGAGAGTGCATTCACTTGAGTCAGACTTGGTATTTTCAGAACAATGCCAAAAGATTACTATTTATTCAAGGGTTTAGTCTTACAACAATTACAATCAGAACCATGGTATCAAAAAATAGCTTGACCATTGGTAAACACATTGTTATCATTTTTGTGTTTCAATAGGTTATCGTAGCAATAGTATGTCCTCCTAAAAACATCCTCAATTTTAGCTTTAAGTGCTTTAAACTCAAAAACGAGTTAAGGGGATTTAGAGGCACCTTAAATTCTGGAGAATTTAAGGTGGCTCTGAACCCCCTATGTTCCAAAATAAATCTTATTAATTCTTTGTTTTTGAAATTCCTATGCCACCGGTTCGATGAACTAAGAAAATATTGAAAGATTACATCTAACGAAATTCAAGAAAATCACGAGTAAGGCCAAAGAAAGCGGTTAGTTTGAGCGTCACTGTTTCAAGACTAAACAGAGATATCAAAACACTAATACATTTGATAAGTTTTAGTCACCGAATTGATACCTCTGAAACCTCTTAGAGGTTAAACTGAATTGAAGCCCGATGTACGAATTAATGACATTTAAGAGATATTACATGAACGATTGTCAAACAGAATTGATTAGCCTTAAAGGAAAAAGTGAATTAGAGCCAGATGCAAAGTTAAATAAACGAGATTTGGCTATCTTTTACAGATTCGTTACTTTTCTGACGACTATCCTCGTGAGTTTGACTGGAGAGTTTTCCCTGGCATCCTATCGTGGCGGTGGCATGCAGGCGATAAAATGTCCGCGTTTCTTGGAGGAGATAATTTCTTTCAAAAACTGACAGGATACTGGTCAAGCGTTTACATGCTCCAGTATTCAGGGTTGCCCAATAGACATGTCTTGATACAACCCGTCAATGTCAAGGTAAATTCTTGAAACGCTCAGGTGCCGTAGAGGGCTTTTGCTGTAGCCTAGATATCTAGCGAGACTTAACGCGGTCATGACAAAAAGGATTTTAGCAAATTACTTAACGCACAGCGTCTCAACCTAATTTTCGGCTAGTAAATCAACGGACAGAAAGTTCAAACTTTTTAGCTATTTCAATATGTGCTTTTTTGGTTAAATATTAATCGAGAACCCGTCAGAAACGTTTTTAGCTTTCAAAGTTAAAAGTGCTATACACTTTTTCTTATCTCTCCGGATGTGAAAATGACATAGTCCAAGTAGCAATTGTTCAAATCTAAAATCAAGATTCCAAAGAGAAGTCCGATACATTTGACTGTAATAAGTTCGCCCTCAAACCGTCCGCCATAACTCGCGAATTAATGAGAAAACTGCGAGTTTGAAAGGAGGATTGGGTCTGACTGACTTCATAGTCACAGCCAAAAGCCCTGAAACGTGGCTAATTTAATATGAAGAGTGGAAGTACGAGCACGTTTCGTTGGGAAATGATTTCAATATTTTCTGTAGCGTCTTCGTTTAGAGATAAGACTCAATTCCGATTGAGTCGTCATCGGAAGAAAAAGAAGGTAACTCGAGCGAGAAGACACGATTGTTTTCCTCTGTTTTCCTGCTTCGCATTTGCTTTGCCGTATCACGTGTTATGGCTATAAAGCCACACAGAAACCCACTGCAGTGATTTCGTGGGATCTTCAGGTTTGGTGTTCGAACAACAACAGACGTAATATTTACGGTTTTATGATATTTGCTTTAGAAACTTGCGTTTCCAGGTTGAAACAATGTCTCCGATTTCAGAAATTTAGGGCCTAAATGTATAGTTAATGTAAGAAAAAGCAGTAAAAAACGAAATTTTCGTTGCAGTACACTGTAAGAGTCGGGAAACGTTGCTTAACGAGCCCCCAGTACGTGATAAACGGATTTATTTTTGAAACCCGTTACTAAAGATGTTACTGGTCTATTCGTGGGTTAGCATGGTCATTGAGAGTCGCAATATCACCACAGACATTGTTTTTGTCAGTATGACAACGTCCCAATTGTTGCCAAAATTCTACCCGAAATCACAAGAAATTCGTGCAAATATTATGTTGGCCCAAACACAAATGTCCAAAATTAAACGGTTCTAAAATATCGAGATAAGATGTCGACAGCATTCTGTAGCGATCCGATGGCGTCAAAAGAGGCTCTTTTGACGCAAAAGTCTCATTTAAGATCGTCCCCGAGTTGCTGATTGACACATACCCTTACCAGTTACATCGCAAACACGGGAGCTCTGAAGAGGACAAATGACTATTTTGGCAGTGACTGCCCTTGCTGCAACCACATTGGAATAGTTCAGAAAANTTATGTGCGGCCCCAAAGGGTATGGTTTTTCAGCCGTTTTGGTCATAAATAGGGTATCGATTTTTGCTATTTTGGTAATAAGTAGGGTATGGCTTTTGCCTTCTAGTCTTGGTATGGGTATGTTTTTAAAAAGAACCTACTTTTCCATCGTTATCGAAAAGACCATCAACAAAAGCACTTCACAAATTATGTTCAACATTGGTCTGAACTAGAGAACTAATTATAAGGCAGGTCTGAAACAGGGCGTTGATTAGTAAGGGTCAGGTATTAAATAGGGTATCGAATTTGTGGCTATCAGGTAATAAATTGGGCAGGGAAAATCGCAGATTTTGGTCATAAACAGGGAAAGGGTTTTGGGAAGCGGGCTGCACAACCCCACGCAAAAGTTTTATGGGAGTATAGCCCCCCCCCTCGGCCTTATAGAGTTCAATTCTTATTACCAGATGAATGCTTTGACAGTAACAAAATGAATAAAACTATTTCAAACTTATCCAGAAAACATAAAGTAACTTAACCCGCTGTTTTGACAGTTATTAGTTTTGTTGAGTGACGTATCTCCCTTACTCTGATGTCCATCACACAATTCTATAAATATTCCTTAAAATGGGAATTACCCTTATACTATACGTATAGTGCGTCTTAATACTTTCTCTGGTAAATCACTCAAAAAATACATGAGGAAAAAGAAAATGAAATTTAACTTTAGTTAAAAGAAAACAAGAGCCGCGGCCGTGTGGTGGTTTTGCAAGAACCAGCGAAAAACCTACTAATATGGAAGTGGGCGGCCTATTAAATTATTCAGTCAGTTCAAGTTTTCCTCCCTTTCATCCATGGATCCTCCCTTGGAAAAAGAACCTATCCACTTCTTACACAAACTTGCCGACTTGTCAACTATTCTTGAGGTAAGAATTCCAAATTTAGGGAACAATGCCTGTGTTTGTAAATAAAACGCGCCTTTCAGGTGATACCCTTCACATCAACACTCCACGAAGAAACCAGAAGAGAGCCGGAGCAGTCCATAACCTGAAGGTTTTGGAGGTTAGTAGATAAAACTGAATTGTTTTTCCCCGCGTTTGTTTCAATATGGGTTTTCCGTTATGAAGAGGATTCCACCGGCAATTCTTTATTTTAAAATCAATTCAATGCTAGTAGTCAAACATAACTGTTAATAGTTGAACTTTTTGTTTCCATATTTGCAATGTTTATTTTCCTCGAAGAAATTAGCATAATTTCTAGCTACCCTGTAATTTCGACCCGAAATAAAGTTATGTAGGTCTATATGTATATACTCCGATGGCTACCGCAACCTATAGCCTGCGAACCCACACAAAACGGCCGGAAATTCTTCTGATGGCAAGCTGGGGCGTTCTAACTAACTGAAATGCGATTGATGGTTAATGAACTTTCACAAATAGGAAAGCACAGTTAATTTGTAATCCCAATTTCTCTAATCCCACGTGTACAAAGAATTGTAAACTTGATAATAAGCGTCATCTCTTTCAAACTCAAATTAAAACATGGTTTCTTTAAACAAAGTTTGACTTTATAGAGGTTTGGCAATCAAAGTGGCCCAAACTACGAGTAAAAAACGAAAGGAACAAATAAAGAAGATTGCCAGAATGGGTCCACAAAAAACATTACGCTTCTCGCAGAGTTTTTACAAAAATAAAGGGGGCCTCTCCATCTCAAGATTTTCTCGGGGTTTCCATTTCATCTTCAAGGCTCTCTCGAAAAGTATAGAACTGGTCATTTAACCCTTACTATAATCGAAGAAGCAAGTCAAACTGAGCTGTGCACTGTTTTAAATTATATAGGTATGAATCAATCTTTTCACATTCATTTGGGTTTAAAAGGAGAGGATGGATGCTTTGTGTTTTCTGATGTAAATCGCAAAAAAAGATTTCAGTCTTCAATTCTTCTGATACCCATCCTGAGTACGTGTACCGGTTTGGAGGGTGTGGGAGTGGTATAACCATCAGTTGTCACTGGTGAAAAGCTGGTTGTCAGTTAAAGTTTGGCACTTTACAATTTTGTCGCGACATGTAATTTCTCATTTAAAGTTTTGAGTCCTGGCTTGTTAGTTAATGGAACAGGAGTCAGCCTGTTTTCGTTAATATTTTTCTCTTATCGCCATATCTCATTGAAGTTCGATCTCGTGCGCAATGCACTGTGTTTATGTCAAACTGATAGTTCCTATATATGTGTACAACGTTTCCAGGTCGAGTGAGGATTGACTCGAACCATGAGTGTGACTATCGTAGTTAAAGTTAGTTTGCGATGCATTATAACGGAGTAGAAAAGAAATCCATGTTATGTAATCATATAGTCTTCAGAGAGTCAACATGGTACATAACAATTTTTATAGAAGTAAGACTAAGCTTCTTAAAGGCTGATAACAAAAAATTCCAATAACGATTTTTCACGACGGCGTTAAGAAAACCAGTAGAGGGGAAGTAGAGGCTTTTTAGACCACGATGCGGCTAATATATAGGAATTGAAGTTCCCAAGAGCAATACGCTGTATAGGTTTACGTTTCGGATCGATTGAGGATCAACGAGTAATCATAAGCATGGCTATCGCGATCAAAGCCAGTTTAAGATATTTCGTAGACTGAGTAGCAAATGAGGACATGTTATGTTATCTTGAGTTAACATGGCACATAACAAATTTTATGAAAGGGAGACTTTTTTCAACGGGGCTATGTGATGGTATGTTGCGTAAGTTTCGCGATGTATGTTGTACATGCACCTTCAAACTGAAGGAACCTCAACATGAATGTTTGCTTAAATAAAGAAAAACACTATAAGAATAAGTAATCACATTATTTCGAGGGGAATTTGGGATTAAAATGAATACAAAATTAGAACGTCAGTGATTGAGAAG